GCGTACCACACCAACTTCCCGGATGGAGTGCTAAGTAACGTCTTTTACAGAGGCCTCAACGCTGATACAAAGGCACGCCTGCCTGGTGTGGGTCCTCGGGGGAATTTCGCCGAGTATGTTGAGTGGGTGCTGGTGAACTGCGGCTCGCAATTCACCATTGGCCTCGGAAAGCCAACCAACACTCCTCTACCAATTTCAGCGTCTCTTCACGTCTCGCCTGCCCAGTCTGAGAATCTTCATGTCAAGCCAGCCATCACCTGTCACCATCAGCCTGTCACCGGATAGGTCTCTGGGCGTCCAGGACTGATGTCCAACATAACGGACCCAACGGTCGAGTCAGTGCGATCGGCCAGAATGGCCGCAGCCACACCCAATCCAGGGTCTCGTCCCGCCGAGACCACCGCCCTTCCAGTGTCTCGTTCCATCAAGGTCACCGCCCTTCCGTGGTCTCGTTTTGCCGAGACCACCATTCCAGGGCCATATCCCAAGATGACCACCACTCCCGAGTCTCTTCACGTCATGCCTGTCCAGCCTGATCTTCACGTCATGCCTGTCCAGCCTGATCTTCACGTCATGCCTGTCCAGCCTGATCTTCACGTCATGCCTGTCCAGCCTGATCTTCACGTCATGCCTGTCCAGCCTGATCTTCACGTCATGTCTGTCCAGCCTGATCTTCACGTCATGCCTATTCAGCCTGATCTTAACGTCATGCCTGGCCAGCCTGATCTTCACGTCATACCTGATCTTCACGTCATGCCTGATCAGCCTGATCTCCACGTCAAGCCTGATCTTCACGTCATGCCTGATCAGCCTTATCTCCACGTCAAGCCTGATCTTCACGTCATGCCTGATCAGCCTGATCTTCACGTCAATCCCGATCTTCACGTCATGCCTGACTTTTACATCATGCCTGATCAGCCTGATCTTCACGTCAAGCCTGATCTTCACATCATGCATGATCAGCCTGATTTTCACATCATGCCTGATCTTCACGTCACGCCAGTGCTCCACGTCAGCCCTGCCAAGCCTGCACTCCACGTCAGCCCTGCCGAGCCTGAGCTTCTTTACGTCTGTCCTGCCGAGCCTGAGCTTCTTCACGCCAGTCCTGCCGAGCCTGCGCATCACGTCATGCCCGCCGAGTCAGACACTGTTCACGTTATGCCCGCCGAGCCAGAGACTCTTCACGTCATGCACGCCGAGCCTGTGCTTCACGTCAGTCCTGCTGAGCCTACGCTTCACGTCAGCCCTGCTGCACCTGCGCCCCACGTCATTCCTGCCGAGCCTACGCTTCATGTCAGTCCTGCCAAGCCTGTGATTCATGTCATGGACGCCAAGCTAGAGACTGTTCATGTCATGTCCGCCTCACCCGAACCCTCGCCTCCGGCCAAGGTGACCACCGTCACACCTCCTGAGCCTATCCCTGAGCCTGTTCCTGAGCCTGTCCCTAAGCCCATGGTACCTCCCAAGGAAATTTGGGGGGCTATACATCTCAACAATGGCCGCCCGAAGGGTCATCTCCACAATGGCTGCCTGAAGGGCCTTCTCCGCCATGGCCACTTGCACAGCCAGCTCCGTCCTTGTCCCCTGAACTGCCAGCTCCGTCCAGGCGGCCTACACGGCATGCTCCACCTGCTCCGCCCCGGGGGCTTCCTGCTCCCATTTCTCCTCGTCTCTGCGTGCTTCCTCGTGATTGATACCACGTATCATAACACTTGGGAACTAAAACATGTGGGAACACAACCTGTTACACCTACAGTAGCGCCCCGAGAATAAGGTGGATAAGAATAAGGTGGATTGGTTTCCGTTTCCGGGTCGAGTACGCTGTGCGCGTTTGTACTGCCGTTTCGCACCTGGATTGATTGTATGTTGTACTGTCAGAACTCTGTGTGGATTACTCCGTTTCACTGGCTACCCCTGCTGTCTGTAAGACGTTGAGAACGCTGTGCCTGTCTGTACAGCCGCTTTGCGCCTGGTTGGATTACTCTTCTTTTTTTTTCATTTTTTTTTTTTCATGGTTGAACTCCGAACTGAACTGTTGATAAGTTTGCCTCAGGCTGGTGCTAGCTCTATTCCCTGTTACATCCCTACCACGCTCGGCTCCTCTGATGGGTGAGTTATCGCTCTCTCTCTCGGTTGCGCTGTTTGTTTACTGCTTACTATATGGGTGCTTAGCCTCCTATTTAGTCTGCTGTTTTTGGTAAAGTGACGTTCAGGGTCTGGCTAACGTGGTTTTGCTTGCGATTAGCTCTCACTTTCTCAGTATTAACATGCCTTGGGCAAAAAAATTTTTTTCTTTTTTCCTCTGCCTCATTTCTTGTCTTGCATCCGTAATGGATATTGAATATTTACCGTCACAACTGAGGGCCGCGTCTTGATCCGCTGACGTATGAATACTGTCAGAGTCTAGGGATTCTCCGTCAACCAAGATACATACACCGTTCGCGGCGCCCACTCATTAGTACTTTTTGCTCCAAGCCTGATGCTCCTCCATGCATCTGGACCAACAACAGACTATCGTCCATACCTAGACATTTGCCTGCCGGTTCCACCACTCAGCACTCTCTGATCTATCTCACTGATAGCGATCAACATACATCTTATTTGAATCTCTTGCATCATCACTTTGCACTTCTGAACTGCCGATCAATTTCGGACAAAGCCCCTTATCTCAATGAAAGGATCACTGACAATGAGCTGGACATTTTTCTTCTCACTTGGAACTTGGCAAGTTCCTGAAGATTTTCTACAGTTAAATCTACTTACGCCAGATGGATATAAGTATCTGTCTAGACAGCGACTCCATGGTAAAGGGGGTAGTTTCGCTATCATCCACCGTGATAACCTCTGAATCAAGCAACTCGACTTTCAAGACACCAATACATTTGAATACATGGTATTGAAGGCTGACTCTCTCATAATTATCTTGCTCTATCGACCTCCTAAAGCCCTGTCTAACTTCTTCTCTGAACTCAGTGAACTGTTGACCCTAGCCTGCTCATTGTCATTTCCCATTCTACTGCTTGGTGACTTTAATATTCATGTTGATGCTGTTTGCTCTAACCAATACATTTGAATACATGGTATTGAAGGCTGACTCTCTCATAATTATCTTGCTCTATCGACCTCCTAAAGCCCTGTCTAACTTCTTCTCTGAACTCAGTGAACTGTTGACCCTAGCCTGCTCATTGTCATTTCCCATTCTACTGCTTGGTGACTTTAATATTCATGTTGATGCTGTTTGCTCTAACACCAATCAGTTACTTTATATCTTTGAATGTTTCAATCTGACTCAGCATGTTAATGTTCTCTGACTACTCCTTCTTCTGTCTCTGAGTTAATCTTGAAATCCAACCCCTCATCTTGTCGTCTTGACCCTGCTCCTACTCCTCTTCTGAAACTCTGCCATTCAGTTTTCTCTGCACCCATCTCTCACTTCATTAATGCATTATCTCTGCTTCATTCCCTCTGCCACTCAAAACTTGTTACCCCTGTTCTCAAGAAACCTGACCTTGATCCCTCAGTTTTATCTAATTATCGTCCCATTTCAAATCTACCATTCATAGCTAAATTACTGGAGAGTAGTGTTGCCTCCCAGCTTCAGTCTTTTCTAGTCGAAAATAATATTCTACATAGTACTGAAACTGCACTACTTAAAGTACTGAATGATCTGCTTCTCTCTGGTGACTCTGGTTCTCTGTCTATGCTCCTGCTGCTCGACCTCAGCTCTGCCTTCGATACTGTCTCCCATCAACTACTCATTTCTCGTCTTTCGGATGTGGGTATTTCTGGTGCTGCTCTTTCATGGTTTTCTTCCTACCTCTCTGACAGACAGTTCTACATTTCAGTTCAAGATTTTCACTCACCTACTGTCCCCCTGAAGCAAGGTGTCCCCCAGGGATCTGTTCTGGGGCCGTTATTATTCATAATTTATATAAAATCTCTTGGTCAGATCCTCCGCTGTCATGGTTTTAATTATAATTTCTACGCTGACGATATTCAATTATATACTACCTGTACATCGACTCTATCTATCACAACCGACAAAATCTCTGCTTGTGTGCATGAAATAAAAGATTGGCTTCATTCAAATTTTCTAAAACTTAATATGGACAAAACTGAGATTATTTTTACCGGACCTCCATCGCTCACTAACAAAATCCCTTCCAACTTCACCTTCGAGTTCGCTGGCTCTCATATCAAACCATCTAGCACCGTTAAAAATCTTGGTGTAATCTTTGACTTCTCTCTATCTTTCCACTCTCACATTAATTCTATCACTAAATCAGCTTTCTTTCATCTTCATCGCATCGCTCAGCTCCGTCAGTTCATCAGTATCTCAGACGCTGAAACTGTCATCCATGCATTTGTCACATCACGTCTCGATTGCTGCTTCATTGGCCTATCTGCTAGCTCCATCTCCAAATTGCAATACATTCAAAACTCAAAATTCTCCTTCTCACTTTTAAAATCGCTGCATGGCTTGGCTCCCCCCTATCTCTGTAACCTCCTCCACCCCTACTCGCACTTTACGATCCTCGACTCTAGCCTTCTAGTCGTCCCTCGGCATCGCCTTGCTTCAATGGGAGGAAGATCATTCAGTGTTGTTGCACCCAAAATGTGGAACTCTCTCCCCCATTCTCTCTGTTTTGTTAACACTATTTCTGAATTCAAATCCATGCTCAAAACTCACTTATTTTCTGAAAGTCATAATTCTTAAGTTGTATTGCATTTTTGCCGTCTTATCTACCTAATTTCTTATTTATTGTACTTACACTTTCATCTACCTACTGTTGTTTTTGTCCATTGTCTTTATTGTTGCCTGTTTATTGTAAAGCGTCCTTGAGCCCTGGAAAAGCGCTATATAAATAAAACGTATTATTATTATTTATTATAAGAGCCAATAAAATGAAGATGATCTTCATCTACAGCAAAAATCTCAACAGATCTCATTGATTTATTGTTATTTAAATTTCCCAAAGTATCAGTTTCCCTTGATGGACACAAATGTCTGAATCCCATATTTAATGTTTGTAGTTGATGCCGTTAAACGCTGATGATAAAAACGAGTGTGAAACTAATAACAGCACTGACAGTGATCAGAGGAAAATGAGTTTGATCAACAGGACGAGTGTCATAATTCATAATAATCTGTGTTGGGTTCACTGTTGATCATTATATGAAGATCAGAATAAAAGCATCTGTTGATTGTGTCTCATCAGCTCCTGTGATTCTGGATCCAAACACTGCGAATCCACATCTCGTCCTGTCTGATGATCTGACCAGTGCGAGTCTCAACGGGAACTATCAAACTCTTCCTGATAATCCAGAGAGATTTGACTGGTGTGTGTGTGTTCTGGGTTCAGAGGGTTTTAACTCAGGAACACACTGCTGGGATGTGGAGGTTACAGAAAGTAAATACTGGAGTCTTGGAGTAACTACAGCATCAGTCCAGAGGAAGGGACGTGTTTTCTTCAACACTGATGTCTGGTGTATGTCGTACGGATGGATTGGAGGTTGTGGTTTGCCTGTTAAACAGAAGCTTGATCGTGTGAAAGTGAATCTGGACTATGATGGAGGAACGGTGTCGTTCTCTGATCTTGTAACTAACACACATCTACACACATTCACAGCCACCTTCACTCACACACTCTTTCCATTCTTCTGTTGTTATTCTGACTCTCTGAGGATCTTACCGGTCAATAGTCAGTAAACGCCACTCCTGTAGATCTGGATCTTCCTGCTCTCATCATGTTTCCAATATTTACTCCATATATCATGAGTAAGAGTGCTGTTGATCTGAGTATCAGTACGGTGGCTGTGATTGGGCCGTGATGATCACATGACTGATTTCCAGCACTACAGCAACACACACACTCTCATGTTGCTTTAACAGATCAATAAACAACAGTGAAGTTTGTCACTTTGCTCATTTTTACATAATTATATAATATTTTTTTCTTTAAACTGAGCCTAATTCTACACATGCACAGTTTAATGAATTTGTAAATAAATAGTTTATTTCAGTTTAAATGATCATTTAAGAACATGGATGTAAACGATAAACAATAACGTTTATATTTCTCAACCGATTTCAGTGGTTTATGATTTATGTGGATTATGAAAAAGGTTCTGTCTAAAATTAAGACTCTCGCTGGTTTAGAGCTTGACATTTGTTTAATGGTTAATTATTAATTAGGAATTGTGAAAACTCAAGCGTGTCAAGCAAAGTTTTGGTTTGTTTTTCTGGGTTAATAATTGTAGAGACGTCCCTAATGTAATATAATTTAATGTACATGAAATATGTATATGTATTCTGGAAATGGCTTTTTCTGTCTTAAACACCATCATATTCACTTTTTCTCTTGTTCCTTTAGCGTTCTGTCTTCAATCACGCCATAGGATGATGTCACAGGGCAATTTTAAATGAATGTGAAGATAATTTGCAGCTTATTTATCTTAAGGCTCTTTTCATTAATATAATTTATTTCTATATATAGTTTTCCTTCTAATCTTATGCTTGTAGTTTAACACACAAGTGTTTGTTTTATTATTCATACATAAACAATAAATGTCTTTCAATCTGTCCTTGAGGTCTTCATGACCCCAATCAACATTTCTGTAGTTAATAAACATGGTTCCCTTCATCTCAGTTGCATACAATCTTGTCACTTTTCCTACATTATCTATCTATACACACACACACACACACAGAGGTGTAACTGGAATAAAAAGCATTTTTTATAGAAATTGGAAAATAAAATCAATAATTCCATAAATCTGAACATTCTCACACATAAATGAAGGCTGGTACTAGAGCACTAATGCAATGTGAAATGGACATGACCACACATATACACACACACACACACACAGACAGAGAGAGAGAGAGAGAGAGAGAGAGAGAGAGAGAGAGAGAGAGAGAGAGAGAGAGAGAGAGAGAGAGAGAGAGAGAGAGAGAGAGAAAGAGAGAGGTGACTGCAATAGAGAGCATTTTATAGAAATTGGGAAATTAAAGGAGCTGTATGTAAGATTGTGGCCAAAACTAGTACTGCAATCACTGTCAAATTACTGTAGAGTGGTGTATCCCCTCCCCCTCCTCCCTGACTCGAGGTTGCCAGATCGGCTGCAGGATCCAGCAGGGACGTGACGAGCTGCAGCTGTGGTAACTAGAGCAGAGCTGGCAACCCGGATGCCGCAACACTACTGACTTCGTGATTGGTAGATAGGTGGAGGGTGGAGCATCAGACCAAAACACAACATGACAACATCAACATCAGTTGAGGGCTGCAACTTCACTTTTTAAATGACAATATCCTGGCCGGACTACTGTTGTCAGTGATATAAGTATTTGAAATGTACATGATTTCTTAATGTCTAGTGACATTTCAGGGCCATTTTATGATTAATTGAAATAAATTTCTTACATACAGCTCCTTTAAATCAATCATTTCTGCTTAAATCTACAAATGTTCACACATAAATGAAGGCCTGGTACTAGAACATAAATGCAATGTGGAAAGATGATGATCACACACACACACACACACACACACAGAGAGAGCGGGAGAGGGGGGTGACTGCAATAGAGAGCATTTTATTGAAATTGGCAAATAAAATCAATAATTCAAGCATGAATCTAAAAAGTAGAAATCGTATAATGATATATAATTTGTGTTATTAAAATGTATATTTTTTGTACAATCGCTCTATTTAGTTTGGGGTCACAGACCCCAAAGACAAGAAGTGTAAACAGGAAACAAGGACCATTTTAGGAAAAATAAATAAAATTGTGTTTTATTGGGGTCTAAAAAGGTTTTACTTTAGACTTTATTGTAATTTTTAGTACAACAAAATTCTGTCTAGTGAATCTCAGTAAAATACCTAAACATAAACAAAACTTTAAACAAACAACAATAAACAGCAGAAATTAAAGTGCAATTATGTCACTAGCTGAAAGGTAGCTGTGTGTGTGTGTGTGTGTGTGTGTGTGTGTGTGTGTGTGTGTGTGTGTGTGTGTGTGTGTGTGTGTGTGTGTGTGTGTGTGTGTGTGTGTGTGTGTGTGTGTGTGTGTGTGTGTGTGTGTGTGTGTGTGTGTTTTTGTGGTTTACGAGGACTTTTGACCTGAATACGCACCAGCACTATGGGGACATTTGGGTTTATGAGCACAGGGGCCATGTCCTCATAATTCCGACAGTGTATATGTCATTTACTATGTCTCAGAAGCTCCCTCTCAAATTTTGGCACCATGTCTTTATATACCACAAAACCCTGAAATTTTACCATACACAGTGTATCCCTGATTTCGAGAGTGCGCTCCCGGAGCCAGTATACAAGTGTATGCTTTGCGGCCTGTGATTGGACAGATCGGTACCGGTAGGCGGGAAATCGCGAAAACAAGATGGCGCCGGTGGGCGGAGCTTCATTAAGCTTCAGCATATGCCTGAATAACAAGCAACTTAATGCAATACTAATTATTTAAGTATTTTTGCCTGTAATTTATTAATTGTGCATTAAATATATGATAAATAAATAAATAAAACCCCGTTAATATTATGATAAGTATGATGTAATCAGAGGTGTTGTCATTCGTCTCGGTCATTTCCTGTTTGGACAGGACAGAAACTCTGCACCTGAGAAGACATCTGTGGACCTAATGGAGGCAACTGTTATCTGAAAGGTAAGTTATGATGTTGTTTAATTGCTTCTCTAATAGCATGTGGGTCCGTTTGGCTTGTTTGTGCATGTCCTGTTAGCTCTTTGCTGCTCGTTTTACAGTTAGAAACAGCTAGCGTGTGATGCTAACTGTGCTAGCGGACTTACAGTGATTCTGTTTACAGACTGACATGAGGGAATCAGCGATGCTTGTCATTTTAAACTCGTTTTCGATTGCAATATAATTGCAACTGCTACCTTTTCTGATCACATTAAATAGTCTAGCCATCATAATAACGTGTTGTCATGAATACAGTATGTGAAGGGGAGGGTTTTTCACCCAGTACAGTATCCTGATATGCTACTGTTAAATATTACTACAGTTCTGCTTGCTTTAAAGACATTAAGAAACAAATATGTGCTCTTATTACTCCTGACTATAATAAAATATACTCTGAATATTAATAGAACTGCCAGTCTGATTCAGTCTTATTAATACTGTCACTATTATTGCCTATCATTTATCAATTGTGAATGAAATTTATGAATGAATAGTTATAATAGAATCCTCAATTTGCATATTCTTTAAATATCATATAATGAAGTATGAAAATAACTTGAATGGTATTTATCAATTCATTTGAAACAAGCTTGTTGAATAATATGTCAAATGAAATGCAATGGTCAGGATTATTGAAGGTCTTTTTCTATGACCGCAGACACATGAGATAATGCCTGAAGTGAGTCAGATCGAGCCTCTGGAGGAGGACACACAGTGTTCACTTCAGGAATAGATCGAGTCTCTGGAGGAGGACATACAGTGTTCACTTCAGGAATAGATCGAGCCTTTGGAGGAGGACACACAGTGTTCACTTCAGGAATAGATCGAGTCTCTGGAGGAGGACACACAGTGTTCACTTCAGGAATAGATCGAGTCTCTGGAGGAGGACATACAGTGTTCACTTCAGGAATAGATCGAGTCTATGGAGGAGGACAAACAGTGTTCACTTCAGGAGAATATCGAGCCTCTGGAGGAGGACATACAGTGTTCACTTCAGGAGAAGATCGAGCCTCTGGAGGAGGACATACAGTGTTCACTTCAGGAGAATATCGAGCCTCTGGAGGAGGACATACAGTGTTCACTTCAGGAATAGATCGAGTCTCTGGAGGAGGACATACAGTGTTCACTTCAGGAGAATATCGAGCCTCTGGAGGAGGACATACAGAGTTCACTTCAGGAATAGATCGAGTCTCTGGAGGAGGACATACAGTGTTCACTTCAGGAATAGATCGAGTCTCTGGAGGAGGACATACAGTGTTCACTTCAGGAATAGATCGAGTCTCTGGAGGAGGACATACAGTGTTCACTTCAGGAGAAGATCGAGTCTCTGGAGGAGGACATACAGTGTTCACTTCAGGAGAAGATCGAGCCTCTGGAGGAGGACATACAGTGTTCACTTCAGTAGAAGATCGAGCCTCTGGAGGAGGACATACAGTGTTCACTTCAGGAATAGATCGAGTCTCTGGAGGAGGACAAACAGTGTTCACTTCAGGAGAATATCGAGCATCTGGAGGAGGACATACAGTGTTCACTTCAGGAGAAGATCGAGCCTCTGGAGGAGGACACGCAGTGTTCACTTCAGGAGAAGATCGAGTCTCTGGAGGAGGACACGCAGTGTTCACTTCAGGAGAAGATCGAGCCTCTGGAGGAGGACACGCAGTGTTCACTTCAGGAGAAGATCGAGCCTCTGGAGGAGGACACGCAGTGTTCACTTCAGGAGAAGATCGAGCCTCTGGAGGAGGACACGCAGTGTTCACTTCAGGAGAAGATCGAGCCTCTGGAGGAGGACACGCAGTGTTCACTTCAGGAGAAGATCGAGTCTCTGGAGGAGGACATACAGTGTTCACTTCAGGAGAATATCGAGCCTCTGGAGGAGGACATACAGTGTTTACTTCAGGAATAGATCGAGTCTCTGGAGGAGGACATACAGTGTTCACTTCAGTAGAAGATCGAGCCTCTGGAGGAGGACATACAGTGTTCACTTCAGGAGAAGATCGAGTCTCTGGAGGAGGACATACAGTGTTCACTTCAGGAGAAGATCGAGCCTCTGGAGGAGGACATACAGTGTTCACTTCAGGAGAAGATCGAGTCTCTGGAGGAGGACACGCAGTGTTCACTTCAGGAGAATATCGAGCCTCTGGAGGAGGACATACAGTGTTCACTTCAGGAATAGATCGAGTCTCTGGAGGAGGACATACAGTGTTCACTTCAGGAATAGATCGAGTCTCTGGAGGAGGACACACAGTGTTCACTTCAG